ATAAAGAAGATGTGGCACATATATACAATGGAATATTACTCAGCCATAAAAAGAAACAAAATTTAGCTATTTGTAATGAGGTGGATGGACATAGAGTCTGTCATACAGAGTGAAGTAAGTCAGAAAGAGAAAGACAAATACCATATGCTAACACATATATATGGAATTTAAGAAAAAAAATGTCATGAAGAAACTAGGGGTAAGACAGGAATAAAGACACAGACCTACTAGAGAATGGACTTGAGGTTATGGGCAGGGGGAAGGTTAAGCTGTGACAAAGTGAGAGAGTGGCATGGACATGTATACACTACCAAACATAAAATAGATAGTGGGAAGCAGCCACATAGCACAGGGACATCAGCTTGGTGCTTTGTGACCAAGTAGAGTGGTGGGGTAGTGAGGGTTGGAGGGAGAGAGACGCAAGAGGGAAGAGATATGGGAATATATGTATATGTATAACTGATTCACTTTGTTATAAAGCATAAACTAACACACCATTGTAAAGCCATTATACTCCAATAAAGATGTAAAAAAAAAAATAGGGTTCCTGATAACTAACAAGGTCCTAATGTATAGCACAGGGAACTATACCCAATATTCTGTGATAAACCATAATGGAAAAGAACATAAAGAGAATACATACACATGTATAAATTAATTACTTTGTTATACAGCAGAAATTAACACACATTGTAAATCAACTATACTTCAATAAAACAAATTAAAAAATAAAAATAAGAATGGGTCTCATATTAAAACTCACACATTGGAGGCTGTCTTTGAAATTTCAGAGTGATTTGCAGAATATAAAGGAAAGTAGCAATGCCCATAGAGGAGAATGTAAGTTTGGAACATGTACATGTTGTATGCAGGAAACATAGGTGGATTCATGAAGGGTTTGAACACTGACATACAAGAGACACAGGACTGAAAAGGTAATCTGTGGATATAATAGGGACGGTAAGTGTTTCTCTTGGAATATCTTTCAAAATGACTGGTAACAGGACTCTTGTCTCTGTGGATTTAAAGAGTTAGAGTTTCCTATGTACCAAATCAATTGATCCACCTTACTGAACATTGGCTGAAGTTGCTGCTCAGAGTTCAAATCTTAATATTTGTGTTATTTTGGCATGTCTACAAGCCAACCAGAAAGAGATTTTGGATGTGCTAAGATTCTAAAAGTCTTGCTAAGTTTGTCCCCGAGACACCTTCACACCTGATTATTTAGTGAAGTGAGGACTCTGGCTTATTCATAAATCATAATGCATTGCTACATGGCTGCTTGGTGGCCTCATTTGTGAACATTGCATTCAGAGCCAGTTCAGAAACTCTGCAAACTGGATTTTTAGAGCATGAATATCTGCTACTATATATTGGACAGGTATATTTCTGGGATTCTTTTTCTGAAGTAAAGTTTGCAAAATAAAATAAATCTCTTGAGTACTAGCAAATTGATATCCTATCCAAGGGGTATACTATAGTTGTATTGCTTGGTAAATCAACTTTTAAAGACATTACAAACTCCATATCATCTGAAAATTGAAGATCTTCAAAAGACCTTGTGAAAGTCTCATTCAAGTGATTTTTCTATTTCTGTGATACACAGTCCTTAATTAAGTCAATACTTAGTATTGATGTTTTGGGGTACTGACTTTTTTCTGAAAAGTTGAACCATTTAGAGAGTTTTATAAAACCCTCTTGTTTGGCTATTGCTTTTATCTTGTTTATCAGGATTAACTTTGGTGAAACTATAGTCTGATTTATAATTTTATATTTAAACGAAAAAGAAAAACTCTCAAGGTAACCTTTTCATTCAGTAACATAATCTGGTGGAAATACCAATGCAAATTAGGCACAAGTCAGATTTTATACATGTTCATGAAATGTTTGGTAAAATACTCTGAGTCTCTGTTTGATGGGTATTCTGTAAGGCCTATACAGTTTCAGAGAGTTTGAGCACTATTTATAACATATAGAGAAATAGTTAGATAGTATTAGTGCTTTCTCACTTTAAAATTTTAGCAGCACGTGAAATACACAATAGGGTTTAACATTCTTCTTCTGGAGTGGGCCTGGCAAAGTCTAAGGTGAGAAAGATAAATCAGTTCTGTGAAAATTAGAAAACAACTTCAAGTGTAGTAAAGAAGAAATAGAAAGTACAGTTTCTGCAATCAAGTATAGTTAGGAATCAGTCTTGGTTTGTATTCTGGCATCACCAGTGTCTGGTTAAGTGAGCTTGGGTTGGTCTCTGAACCCTGAATCTCCAGAATTTATAACACCTTTTTAAGTATGTGGAATGGCATTTGTGTACAAATGCCATGTGCAGTTGGTCTTCGGTAGCCGTTAGTTCCCTCGACAGTGATACGATGGGACACGCATTGTTTTTCAAAATTTGTGCCTTGTTAGTATGCACAACTTAGCACCATGTCCCTGCCCATGTCACTGGAGGGGCAAAGACCCCTCCCCAAGCCTTTCCTCCTCCTGGGGTTTGCATCTGTCAGGTTGGTCCTGAAGCTGCCTCCCCTCCCAAGGCCCCTGCAGGCATTGGAAATGTCTCTGGGGAGGCCTTAGCTGGAACTCACCACCTTCTTGTGCACAACGGTTCCCTGCCTTTTCCCTTCTGCCCGCCCAGCATCTTTTCCCTCCTCCCAAAGGCCAAGGCTATTCTGAGGTGAGGAAAGGGACAGGCACGAGAACAGTGTCCTCCCCTCCAATTCTGTAAGCACTAATGTTTCTGCAGCTCTTGTAATAGCCATCCAAAACGTAGTTCAGGCTACGTATCCAGTAATGACAGGTGTGGAGCCTACCAGGGCTTATAAAACAGGCCCCTGCCTTCAACGGGCTTGGAGTTTTGTGGAAGCACAGGCAAACCAACAGGGGAAAGAAAGTGAAATAGGCCTTATACCTGCTGTTCACTGGCCCAGAGAAATTGTCCATTCTTGAAATACATCCTGATCCACAGGACAGGGCAAAAGCAGGTTATTTGATTCTGAAGAAAATGAAACTCTGGGTTTTATAAAAGTTTATACAAAAGAACTCGAAACTTCAATCTGAAAAACAACCAGTTCTGATTGAAAATGCCAAAGCAAATAAATAACACCGCATATATTTGTCCCTCTCAAGTCAGAATAAAATCGTGCCTCAAAATGGAAGGTGTGTTTATTTATCTTTTCAAACTAAAAAAAAAAACAAACCTGTAGGGCTTCCCTGGTGGCGCAGTGATTGAGAGTCTGCCTGCCGATGCAGGGGACATGGGTTCGTGCCCCGGTCCGGGAAGATACCACATGTTGTGGAGCGGCTGGGCCCGTGAGCCATGGCCACTGAGCCTGTGCGTCTGGAGCCTGTGCTCCACAACAGGAGAGGCCACAACAGTGAGAGGTCCACATACGGAAAAAAAACCCAAAAACAACCTGTAGAATTTATGGGGGCTTCAAAATTGAGGAAAAAAGAGAATAGCCCCCAAAAGACTACTTGTAAAATGAAGAAAACCCATGCTCTCCATAAATATTACCACCTAATATTACAAGCCACTCCAAATAAAGATGACTATTATAATATTCTCCAGTTTCAATCTGCCATAACTAATCTTAATCCTCAGTTTACTAATACTTTCAGTTATGAATAGTGATGGGTAAGCAATTAACAAATAACAATGAATATAAAATAGAATTTGTTTTCCCAGCAGAGTGAGACGAATACAGAAAAATGTATGTGTAAACAGCAGCAATTTGAAAGTGTAATTGTGATTGATTTAATAGGGAAAACAATTAAGGACATTATGAGAAGGAAAGCCAATGTTAGCAACCGCTAAATCTTCACCTCCTATGCGCATTTAGTAAACAGTAAATATCTGGTGAGGTTTTTTCCCAAAGCAAAAGTGACCTGAACCAACACATTATTTTATTTGATGTGTAAGTCTATGAGGTCTCCCCCGGGTGCCTTTTGCCCCTGCCTCGACCTCCAATTCCTCACCTTGTAATTTGGGGACAGCCTTTGACTCACCTTTTGGGGTCAAGAGCTTGGGTCCAGGGTTGTGGAAGGCACAGTATTTTTGTTTCATAACCTGGACCAAACTGTCTTTTACTTCCAAGCTGCAGATTGTTTATAAAGGCAGAATCATTCTAAATTCTATATTTGTTTTGTATTTTTAACACTTTTAATTGTTTTTAAAACTTGAATAGGCAGTTGAACACAATGACTTTAAAGTCAGACCAGGCTGTGGATTACCGGACCAAGATGCATCAACTGGGCAACTTTGGTCGAGGTACAGAACTGAGCTAATTGCATTATGACAAGGTATGTAAAGTGACTGGTACATAATAAGTAAATATTTACATATATAAACTACTAAATATTTACTTATTATGTACCAGGCACTTTACATACCTTGTCATGATGCAATTAGCTCAGTTATGTATGTACCAAATGTAAAATATATCGCTAGTGGGAAGCAGCCACATAGCACAGGGAGATCAGCTTGGTGCTTTGTGACCACCTAGAGGGGTGGGATAGGGAAGGTGGGAGGGAGACGCAAGAGAGAGGCGATATGGGGATATACATATATGCATAGCTGATTCACTTTGTTATAAAGCAGAAACTAACAAGCCACTGTAAAGCAATTATACTCCAATAAAGATGTTAAAAAAATAGGTAAATATTTAATAAACACATACTCAGTCAACCAATACATTCTTGTTAATGATCAGACTTCCATGTTGTAGTTCTCTTTTTATCCCTGAAAGAACTAAGGCCCAGTCAGTGAAATCCCCAAGTTACCAGAAAAGGAGGAAAACACTAAACTCTTTACAACAGACATCCTTATTTCCCTAGGAAATGGCATCATGCTGCAGATAGGATAGATATCGTCTAATTATTTCTGAATGGGTACACAACAGTTATCAAGCTACCGTCAATCTGGATAGAGGAAAATGACAGAAACGTTCACTGGCTACCATGAGGGCATCTCAGTTTTATTCAGCTGATGAGAAAATTTGTCCTACCCAGATGCTGTCTTCTTGCTTGTACTGTTTCCAGTTGCGTCCTGTGTCACTGAACATCAGGCTGTAGCTCGTCACCCAGTCAGAGCTTCCGTATCTTCCCTGCGTGGCCACTGCTGTAATCTCCAGTCTGTTGCCCAGGTCCATCTGGAGCCACTGCTGAGCATTGGAATCTGCTGGGGACCAACCGCCAGTTCCTGGAAGAGGATCAGAGAGAGAGAGTTGCAGCAACATCTCACAGAGCCGTGACTGTCACCGCTCACAGAGGAAAAAAAAAAAAAAACACTGTTCAGCTAAGGTGTCTGTAACCAAAATATGTCTGCCTCTCTTCATAAACCCCTGATATTTCCTTTTTAAAATTTTATTGGAGTAGAGTTGATTTACAATGTCATGTTGGTTTCAAGTGTATGGCAAAGTGATTCAGTTATACATATGCATATATCCACTTTTTTTTCAGATTCTTTTCTCATATGGGTTATCACAGAATGTTGAGTAGAGTTCCCTGTGGTATACAGTAGGCCCTTGTTGGTTATCTATCTTATATATAGTAGTGCTTGTATGTTAATCCCAAGCTCCTGATTCATCCCTCCTCCCACCATGTTTCCCCTTTGGTAACCATGAGTTTGTTTTCTATGTCTGTGAGTCTATTTCTGCTTGGTAAATAAGTTCAATTGTATCGTATTTTAGATTCCACATATAAGTGATATTTTAGGATATTTGTCTTTTTCTGACTTACTTCACTTAGTATGATCATCTCTAGGTCCATCTATGTTGCCACAAAGGGCATTATTTCATTCTTTTTATGGCTGAGTAATATTCCACTGTATATATAGACCACATTTTCTTTATCCATTCATCTGTCGGTGGACATTTAGGTTGTCTCCATGTCTTGCCTGTTGTGAATAGTGCTGCAATGAATATTCTCGACCCAATTTTCCTTCTCCTCCTCCATCAAATTCCCTTTCATGGTTTAATATTCATCTCAAATTATGTTTCCTCTACCATTCATCCTCTCTTTTCTCAGTTATTACAGTTTTCATATTCTGGATTCCTAATGGGATGTCACCTATTTTTTAAGTTTTTTACAACTTTAACTTTTAACATGCCTTATACCCTCTTCCTGACTGGTCTTTCCTTCCTTCCTTCTTTGCTTTCTTCTTCCATTCCTCCCTTTCTTTTCTCTGATGTTTAGCTCTTTCTAAATATGTGCTGTGAACCTGCTATAGACCAGATATTTTGCTGTGGATGCAAAGATGCACGATCGCTGACTATGCCTTTGAGAGTTTAGTGTTCACTCATTCAACAGATGCTCACTGAGCACCAGGAGGTTGCTCGATACTGAAGAGAGAGACACACACACAAAAAAATGTGTAATGTGATGTGAAAGAGAGCCTTCAGAGAGGTGAACACAAGGTTCAATATGAGAACAGATGACAGAATGCCTAGGTAGGTGATCAGAAAGCCCTAGAGACAGTGACAGTGGAGCTGAAAGCTGTTTCCTCAGCAAACAAAGTGAGACAGAGAAAAAGTTGGAGAGACCAACCCAGGCCAAGGAAACAGCACATGCAACATCTCAGAGAGACATAAGAGTGCCCCATCCCTGAGTCTCCTTGTGATTCTTTATGTTTGACACACAGCAACATTCTGATATGTGACCAAAGCCTTTGAGCCCCAGAATTTTATTATTGACACATTGGAACTTTGCAGAAGATCAATATGAACTCTTGCTTCTTTGGAAGACTTGTGGCCTAAGTTTTCTGTTTTCATTTCCCATAGGTATAAAGAGGTCCATATTTATTCTTCCTGACCCAAGGGTCCACAAGACATCTGAATCCTGAGTGGGACCTATTGTAGAATGTGTATGCCATGGGTGCACCCCAATATTCATAGCAGCACTACTTACAATAGCTTCCAAGATATGGAAGCAACCTAAGTGTCCAAGGAGAGATGAATGGATAAACAAGATGTGGTATATTAGCACAATGGAATATTAGTCAGCTATAGAAAATAATGAAATAATGCCATTTGCAGTAACATGGATGGACCTAGAGATTATCATACTAAGTGAAATAAGTCAGACAAAGACAAATGCCATATGATATCACTTATATGTGGAATCTAAAAAAAAATTGCTACAAATCCACATATATACAAAGCAAAAATAGACCCACAGACACAGAGAGCAAACTTATGGTTACCAAAGGGGAAAGGTGGGGGAGGGATAATACGGGAGTTTGGGAGTAACATATACACGCTAGTATACATAAAACAGATAACCAACAAGGACCTACTGTATGGCACAGGGAACTACGCTCAACATTTTGTGATAACCTATAAGGGAAAAGAATCTGAAAAAAAATAGATATGTATTATGTATAACTGAGATATATATTATGAATAATAATTATTACAGAATTATGAATAATAATTACAGAATTATGAATAATTTCTGTGCTGTACACCTGAAGCTAACACAATGTTGTAAATCAACTATACTTCAATAAAAAAAAAAAAAAGAAAGAAAGTAGCCCTTTTGTTAAGAACCTTGCTCAGGGCATCAGGTTGGGTGATTCACTGGATTTTTAATTTAGAGACGTTAACGTAACCCTTTTGATTTCAATTTGTGCCACTGAAAATCATTTTAGTGATGTCCCGGTTTACATTCTTGCCATCTCGGGAGGACTCAACTGGATCCCTCCTTGGTACTGAGAACTTTCTGAGTCCCCACTGGCTGCCCACTGCAGAGATAGCTTGTCATCATCTGGGAGTGGGCAAAGGGAGCAGAGAACATGAGATGGGCCCTACTCTGGCCATAAGGCACATTCATCGATTTCATCCCAATAAATAGCTAGTACTGTAGCCGAGTAGGACCCTATGAGGCCTTCCCAGAATAGACCGCCACCAATGTCCTCTGCCTGCCTTTTGTCTGTGGAAAAACTTTAATCAAAGAATAAATTTCATCAGAGAAATCAGAAAACGCATAAAGAAAATAGTCAACCAAGACAAATAATAACACTTTAGCCATTAAACAAAGTCAAGGCCTTTAGTTCCTCCTCAAGGACTGTAGATACTATTCTGAGCCATGTCCTTTGAGCTGTTTTGCAGATACTGAAGCCCCCAACAAGTGGGAGAGGTTAACTGAATGCTGCCCATAAGCACATAGACCCCAGACCTGTTGGAACCAGAAGGTTGATGATGCTGACTCCCAATGACCTCACCACAAGCCAATCAGAAGAATGTCCACGAGCTGATCACACTCCCCACAACCCTCCTCTCTCACCCTGTCTTTAAAAACATTTCCCTGGGGCTTCCCTGGTGGTGCAGTGGTTGAGTCTGCCTGCCGATGCAGGGAACACGGGTTCGTGCCCCGGTCCGGGAAGATCCCACATGCCGCGGAGCGGCTGGGCCCGTGAGTCATGGCCGCTGAGCCTGCGCGGCCGGAGCCTGTGCTCCACAACGTGAGAGGCCACAGCAGTGAGAGGCCCGCGTACCACAAAAACAAAAAAAAACAACAAAAAACCATTTCCCTGAAAACCTTCGGGGGGTCGGGTCTTTTAAGCGCTAGCTGCCCTGGACTCCTTCCTTGGTGCCCTGTGATAAAGCTATCTCTTTCTACTTCACCCAAATGTCTGTCTCCGAGATTCAGTCCGGCACTGGTATACAGAGGCAGAATTTCGGCAACAGTATTTTTGTTTGACAACATTTTGTTTTCACTTCCCTGACAAGATTCAAATGCAAGGAAAGAAAGACAAGTATGCTCATCCCCTACCATGGAATGTCTTTCATTAAGTGTTTTGCAAGACATGAATACCCAGTACTGTTGGTATTCACTAATGCCTGTTTTCTCTTCCTTCTGTAGTAATAGGACTGCAGAGAGTGCATGGCTTAACTACACTTTTCAGCTCTTAGTACTTTTCAAGTTGTGGCCCTATGGACAAATTCTCTCCAAGAAAAATGTGAGTGGGAAGATGTGCCACCTGCAGGCCATCGGGTCTCTTCCCCACATGCTTTCCCCTTTCACCACTGATGGATGCGGCCAACAAGGACCTAGAAGATGGCAGAACCTCAGCATGGAAAGATGCCAGATTCCCACATCATCACATGTAAACTACAATATGAATGAGAACTAGACTTATTTTGTTTAAGCTATTGTGTAGTGGAATCTATTTGATACTGCAGTTTAACCTACCTTAATACATACAAAGTACCCGGTAGAGTAAAGAGAATAATGCCCATATTATAGTTGGGGAAACTGAGGTCCAGAAAGTGTAGAACACCTGGAACTCAGGATGCAAGCACAGCTATTTGAGAATCTTATGTAACAAAAAAAAGGTTTCTAAAAACCAGAAAATCAAGAAGGGGGAAAAGGACTGCGAGATATTTGAGCAGAGATTCTGAGCTGTTAGGCCCACAAGTACTTGGGTTTTTTTAGTTTGTTTTTTTTGCGGTACGCGGGCCTCTTACTGTTATGGCCTCTCCCATTGCGGAGCAAAGGCTCCGGACGCGCAGGCTCAGCGGCCAAGGCTCACGGGCCCAGCCGCTCCACGGCATGTGGGATCTTCCCGGACCGGGGTACGAACCCATGTCCCCTGCATCGGCAGGTGGACTCTCAACCACTGCACTACAAGGGAAGCCCCACAAGTACTTTTTTAATCAATGAACCCTGTCTTCACCAATATGTCCACGATTCCCAATCTATTCTACCCTCTCCCAACTTCTCAAAACTGGCAGGGAGGTCCAAAAAGGAGGAGATATTACATTTCCAAGAAATCTAAAGTTGTTCTGAACCTACTCTTGATTTCCACTTAATTTCTCTTGCCCATTTCATGAGACCTCTTTCTTCTTAAGTGAAAAAAAGCAAGGCTGTGTAAACTATATGACTTCAACAATATTAAAACATGATAGAAAAGAAACGTGTATGGTGATTTCTTCTGAGTGATGAAAGTATGAGTGATTTTATTCTTTTATGCTCTTTGCTTGTAACATCTTCTATTATCAACATGTCTTTCTTTTATAAACTGAGACCCATTTTTACATGGCTTATTGCATAAAGAATATATGTAACGATTTGACATTTGGTGGTATAATATAGAACTCTTTGTGTGACCATCACAGTATTTGAAATGAAAATCCTCAAACCTTAACTATTTCTCTTTACCCTCCTATTGACCACAACTAGACTCCTTAGTCATGTTTT